AAGGTTTGCAAGCAAGTTTGACTGTGGCCATTTTCTCAGAAGCATTTTTTTAACCAGTTAGCAATATAATGCTAGTAGGTTCCCAATGAGAAATTATATTGGGACCAAGTAGCACTAACAGTGACTTAGAGACAACACTGTCAAGGAACCACTAGTTAACCTGCAGATTGAGAGCAAAGTGCTCTGTTAGGAACATAAGGAACAATCAGATCTCTGATATCAGATGGAGCTTGGCCATTTAAGGCTTTATATGTGAGAAGGAGGATTTTAAATTCTATTCTGGATTTAACAGGAAGCCGATGAAGAGAAGCCAGGATAGGCGAGATATGATCTCTCTTTTTCATTTTCATCAGAACTCTGGCTGCAGCATTTTAGATCAGCTGAAGGCTTTTAACTACAGTTTGTGGACTTCCTGATAGTAAAGAATTGCAATAGTCCAGCCTTGAAGTAACAAATGCATGGACTAGTTTCTCAGCATCTCCCCTGGACAGGAGATTTCTAATTTTTGAGATATTCCTCAGATGATAGAAGGAAATTCTAAAAACCTCTTTGATCTGGGATTTTAATGACAGGTCCTGATAAAAAAAATAATTAATAAATATTAACACCGCTTATTTTATGGGCCTCACCACGGTCGGCCTCCTCCATCCCCTCTCGCATCTATACATTGAGGGTTCAGGGTTTTCGAAGGGGGGGTGCGCTGGCACCGCCTATCCCCCGGAGGGGGGGTGGACTGTGCCGGACACCCCCTCTTGGTACTCCCAGTTTTAATTACATCTGAGAGCAACACGCATCAACACCACATCTGAGTGGGCGCAGGGAGGTTCGGGGTCTTCTCACACCCCTGTTCTCCTGCTGCTTCCCGGAGTCTGGGGCCAGGAGGAAGAGTGAGCCACCTGGTCCGTGGTTTTGGCTGGGGCCGGCTGCAGGGCCTTGGTGGCCTACCGGTGTTTTTTTTCTTTTTCTTTGGGGGGGACGGTTCTGGTTGGGTGGCCTGCGCGGGATGGGTGGCCTGCGCGGGATGGGTGGACCGGGGCCCACCCATCCCGCGCGGGGGGGGGTTCTTGCTGGGGGTGGTCCGGTCCGTGTGCAGGGTGGGTGGCCGGGCTCGAAGCAGGAATGAGATGGGTTGTTGTGGCGGTGTCGCCGCTCCCCTCCACCCCATCCGGATTTTAGGTTCACTTATTGGGTCATCCGATAGTCCCGGGACCAACCACTGGTGCCGCCGGGTCTTTGGTCCTGGTATTATTGGATGTGCGTGTTATGTGTGAATGTGTGTCCGTGTTTTTGTTTTATTTATTTATTTATTTTTATTATTTATTTAGTAATTTACTTTATTTTATTATTATTTTATTTTATTTTTTTCCTGTGGTGCGAGTGGGGGTGAGATTGTGAGTGTGTTTTTTTTTTCTCTCTGCACCCCCTTCCAAATACATCTCAAGTCTCCGCTAACTGCGGAGCCCATTCACCCCGTCCTGCTCTCCCTCCGCTGGCTGGCGTCGGTGCTCGCCGGTGCACAGGTGGGACTCGGGGTCTGGGGGTGGATGCCCGGGTAGCTGCCGGCTTATTCCTGGCGGCCTCTCCGCTGCCCCGGCCGGCCGGGGCCTTGCTGGGGCTCCTGTCTGGGGGTTGGGCGCCCCTGGGGCCCGGGACTGGATTCACTTCGGGGTGGGGCCGGGTGTTGTTCTGGGATTGTCGGTGTCAGTGCCTTCGCTTCGATGCCGGTTCCTGGGTGGTGCTTTTTCCGATGCTGGTCTTGTGGTACCGGTTCGGGGGGGAGGGGAGCTGCACGGCATGGTGAGGTGCAGGTCTTGGGTTTTGTTTTGGGCTCTGGTTTTTCCGCTTGCATTTCTCCTCTTGCTTAGGGGAATTTTTTATTTTTTATTTTTTTTTATATGTATATATATATATATATATATATATATATATATATATATATACATATTATTTTTTTTTTATTTAGAAACATTTCTACACTGGGCGGCTCCGGCGGGGTTGTTGTTGGGAGGCTGGTGTGGATGGGCTGGCTGCGCTGATTGGGTCTTCGGGTGGGTTTTCCCGCTTGGAGGCATGGTGGAGCTGCTTTGGTCCCGCCAATCACGGCGGGTGTGGCGGTGGAGTGGCTCCAGCCGGCGCGTGTCGGGGGGCCGGGGCGGCGGAGGTGCTTCGGCAGCATGTTGGGGGCTTGTGCGGGCGGCAGACGCGGCTGTGCTGCTCTTGCTTCGTCCGGTGGGGGAGCGGCGTGGTTCGCTCCGCTTTGGCTCTGTGCTGGCCGTGGGCTGCTGGGGGGGTGGGGGGGGGGGGGGGGGGGTGGTTGCGCTGGCTACGGTCTGCTCTTCTGGCGGTCGGGCACCGGGCGGCTTTTCTGCTCTTGGGTCACAGAACGTGCGCGGTGTGTTGTGTTGCACACTGTTGGCGTCTGTCTTGGTAGGGCGGGGCCGCGCTTTTGGCCTGGGGGGCATTTTGGGGGGGTTCCGCGGCGCTCGCGGCCGGTTCGCGGCAGATGCGCGTTGGCCCCGTCGGTGGGCGCGGCTGCCTGTGTGTTTTTCGGGGGTGGTGTGGTGACGTTGGGTGTTGCGGCCTGTCGCCGGGGCTTGGTGCCAGGGGGCGGGGCGTGTTTCGGCGCTCTGTGGGGCCGGGGCATTTTGGTCAGTGCCGTGGGGGGGGCGGTGTTCTTTGCCCGGCCCTACTTCAGGGTGGCCGGCTGCCGGCGGAGCCCGCAGACTCGCCTCCGCGGCTCCCCGGGGCGCCGGCATGGCGGTGGCTGGGGGGCTTCGTGGGGGTTGTCTCTCCTCCTCCCTTGGTGGGGGTCTGATTCCCGGGGCTGGCCCCTCCTTGTTGCCTTCGCTCTTGGGGTCCCTTTGGGCGCCTGGGGCTTTGGGTCTCCCGGTGCTGGACTCAGTGCTCTGGGGGGTGTGCTTCTACAGCTCTCGGTTTAATCGGTTTGCTAACTTATAGCAAGTCAGGAGCTCAGTGATGATGCGTTGGTAATGTGGTTCACTGCGGTGCTGGGTCCTCACAGCAGGGGTTTTACCATTTCAGAAAACTTCAGTTTTCTCATCCGCTTCAGGAGAAGGCAGGAATCCTGATGTGCACTACAATCAGAGCTTCTGAATTGCAGGAAAGGGCTCACCAACAAATGCAGCCACGTTGAAAGACTTCACGTGAAGGTATGCTCTCCTGTTCAAGCTTTCGGCCATGAGCAAAGAGACCTTTCTGGACAGCGCTGCCTGGTTTTAAAGGAGGATGATGTTGGAGGGTTGGCTTGCATTCATCACAGTTCTCCAGCAGCTGGTTTGTCTAAAGCCATGACTGTAGGAGAACCAGCTGAGAATTTTTGTCTGTTTGCATCATTGTCAATTTAGCACTGCAGCCATTGGGTACGCTCGGGTCTTCCTTAAATGGCATCACCATGATTGGCTTGCTCAGAACAGTAATCATATGGTCCAGCAGTATTTGGATCACAACAGTTGATACCAATCGTGACCCAATACAATATTTGTATGAATCATAGCAGCTTTTATTACTTATTTTATGCTGTAGAATGTTAGAAAATGTTTATTAAAGAAATATTCCTAAAACAGGGAACAAAAGTCAACGAGATCCTGCTTTTCCTGCCAGTGAAGGCCCTGTGTCTGCTGGTGCGTTCTCTAGGTGTGGAGTTGGGTACTTCAGGAGGCACAGTTTCATCTTTGATGCTGCCCTGTGGGGTGCCCACTTAGGGGTTGTGCACCCCAAGTCCTCGGACTGTGGGCCTGCCATCCAGATCTGCCTTGGGCAGCTGTAGCCCTGTAGGTCTTTGGCACTATGGCCTCCGGGTTTAGGGACCCTCAGGGAGTGGGCCCCTTTTGGGTTTTGCCCTTCGGGGGTCAGGCTCCAGGTGCTCTTGTCTGTCCTTCTCTAGTAGGTGTGGCCATCACTATGTCTGCCCTGCCTGTGTCCCAGTAATCTGGGGTGCCTCTGGGTAATGGGGCCCCTATCACCTCTTTTTCTGTCCTGAGTCCTGCAGGAAGAGTCTGGGGCCGCCCACACCTGCTATTAAGCATATATTCCTTCTGAAGAAGGTTTGTGAATCCTTTATACATAAGCATGCTCATGTATAAAGTTTACTTCCAGGTTTTCACAGATACACACTAATACTACATACTAAGCTGCAGCTACAGATATATACCACCCTGAATGATATAGTGTTTCACCATAGGTTTTGCCTTTCACACATATGGATATCTAAAGGATACCTGCTGCTCTAGAAGCTTTATGTTTTGAAGTTTACTTTGGTTGTCTGTTGTCTTCTTTTTGTTGCCTCTATTTTCTAATCGTCTCATCCATACATGTATGGAAGCAGACTTCTAGGAATTACTGTATATCTTTTTTTCTATTTAGGTTGCTTTGATTTATTTTCTACCTTATATGCACTCTGTCCTGTCTCTATCTCTCTCTTTTCCCTTAGTTCTTATCCCCCCTTTGTTTCTCACCTTCCTTTCCATGTCTGTTGTATACGATTTTACCCCCAAATCATGCTCAGTAAAGTTTAACATACAAATATCAAGAAGAACATTATGGCAGCAGTCATAATTTTAGAAATGGACCTGGAGAGTAGTTAACCTGCATGTGTTTTAAATAAAACGCTCATGCCAGTTTTTATTACTGATGTGTACTTTTTGCAGAATTCTGAATTCCTACAGGGAGTTCTTAAATTCACTTCAATTGTTTATTATACAAACCAAAATGCTGTATTACAGAGAGAAGAAATGTAACAAATACACACATTCAGAGAAATACCGATGTAACCTTGGGGCCAGTGCAAAGACTTTGATGATGAAGTTAGTGAAACAATGCAATCAGCTGGTTATCCTGTGATAGAAAATTTTGTACCAGTCTGACTGGATGAGCTGTTTGAATTTTCTATGTAAAGTCCCTCCAGCTGAATTGGCAAAATATACAGGTATTTTTTCCAGGTGTAAAATGAGCTGTTTAAATCTTTTTTTTTTGCCATTTAGACAGAGAAATACAACTGCACCAAAGACAGCGACTGCAGTAAATTTCGTAACAAACCTGGAGGATATGGTAACACTTTTCAAGTCAAAACTTCTGTTATACCATTTAATGATATATTTACAACAATGGTCTCCACCTCCAAGGATAAAGCTCTACTAGCCTGCAACTTTTAGGTAAATCCCTGATCAAACAGCCCAATCAAATGATTACTTATCTCCTCTGCATGCCTTCAGGTTTGGTAAAGGCCCCTTAATGAGCCACTCATTTGATACAGGTTTGTTAGAGCAGGGATGTATCTAGTTGCACGGAAGAAGATCTGGAGGCCTGGGGTCCACTGCTTTCTTGTTTTGAAACTTTCTCATTTTTCATCCATGCTCAGGAATTCTCACTGGGAAATGTGTTCCTTTCAAAAACAACACCAAAATGTGTGAGATTAAAGGGTGGTGTCCTGCAGAGATCGACACCATAAAAATGTAAGATAATACTTTACTCTGATATCTTTTTACCGATCTATCGATCAATGATTAGAGAGACTCCCTTTTTTCTGTTTTATTAAGTGGTAAAGCTTTGAGAATTCAAACTATAGAGAGCACCCAGAAAGTTTTTTTTAAATAGCCGCTGATATATATCAAACTGGCTGGGACTCCATCCTGGAGAGAAACATCAGCTGTGCTGCTGCCACTAACATCTTTGTTTATCGATGTTTGAGATCTGCCTGTTTTTCAGTGTAGTCCTGTTTCTCTGACTGTGAATAACTGGAGCTGGCTCGGAGCTCGTCTGCCTGGCTGTGTGTTTCCTGGACGGAGCCGCCTTTTGCAGTTGATTTTTGTATCTATGCTTCTTTTTCTATCTCTGCTTCTGTCTCCTTGAACCCCAGTGGGCCTCGGCAGATGGCCGCTCACACTGAGCCTGGTTCTGCTGGAGGTTTCTTCTTGTTCAAAGGGAGTTTTTCCTCTCCACTGTCGCTACAAGCATGCTTAGAGTGAGGGATTGCTGAAGAGTCAATGAGTCGATGCAATTACCTGGTTTTCCTTAGTTAGAAACTTTGAATCAATCTGACTGGATGATCTGGTGAACTGGAAAGTGCTTTGAGATGACGTGTCACATTTCTGACAAACATCATATATTAGAAGTTGTTTTGTGCAGCGCTGAAGCACCTGGCACTGTTTTTCCCGTCGACAAAGGGGTTTGGAAACCTGCTGTTCTCTGGAGAGCATCTGGTCGGCACGCAACAGTTTTACCAGTTCAATGATAAAATCTCTGCCGTTTAAACAGCTCCTGAACAAAACCAATGCGTTTATAGCTGCTATATCCAGGAAATTGTAAGAGACAGCAACAAGCCACCATCACGGTGGAGCTTTTACAGAATACTTTCTAATCATCTGATCCAAGACCTCCACACCAACCTGTGTGTGATTATAGTCGACAGGGGGCTCTGGTTTGGCTTTTAAGTGTACCGGCTGAAGTGTGGGCAGTGCTATCCAACCTTTAACTAAAGTTTTCCTATTTTCTGAGGGGTCACTGATAAGTGATAATTTTTCTGCGGGTGGTTCATCGTCCTCGAACTCATTTTCAGAATCTGAGCTGCACCCTTCCAACTAGTTTATCATCATCAGTCTCTCAATCTTCAACCGAATCCTATCATCAGTATTTTCAAGCATTTCTAAAGCCTGTTCCGCCGTTAGATTTCTTCTGAAAACCAACAGTTCCAGAGTTTTCTTGATAAAATTTTGGTTGCTAGTCAATGGTACCGAACATCATTGAACTGCAGGAACAATTTACAATGCAGATAATGGAGCCGTCAAAATGACGGCCATTGGATATTGAGGTGAAATAAACCATATTTATTTTTTAAGTTTTTATTTTATTAAAAAAAAAATAACATGAAATATAGAAATATAGAAACAGAAAAAGTCAGTTAACATGACCAACATAAGATAAAAAGTTATTTCCCTTCAGAATCTCAGATGGCTGCCTTGGGATATGCTGGTGAAGATTCTCAGTCAACCAGGTCATATTAATTCCAAAAAAGTTAAAATCAAACCGCTGGACTTTGTTTTTCCAAGTTTGAAGGCTTTTCTCTTCCCATCTAGTAAGTTTTTTCAATTCAAAATGTCAGAATTATTGTTGAGTTCCAAGCCTTAGCTTAGAAAACATGCAAATTGAACTGAAAGGTCAACCCTTAGGAATGGGAAGTCGTCGAGGTTGTTGTGTCCTGCAATACCCGAAACTGTCCTATGAAAGGGAATCGTTAGGGTCATTGTTGACCTTGGGATCTCTAGTGTTAAAGGCTGCGGTATGTATCCCCGTATAAGGGATAGGTTAGTCATATCTAAAATGGAAATAGAAGTCAGTGGGAATACCTCCCTAAACTTGGTTAAAATTGGAACAAAGGTACAAGTTGAAAAATCTTAGAAAAAATAATGTTTTTGGTAACTCCGAAAGCACAAAACGGTCAAAATGTCATGATCTTGGCAGCCTGTCTTGGGTGTACCCTCCCTCTACTGTCGGAGATCGCCACTGGCCTCACCCTGACGTAATAGGCAGGAGAAGATGATGCTCAATTTAAATGAGGGAAACTAACGGTGAAATGCTGGAGGGAGCTGCCTCATTGATGCTAGCATCAGTTTCTGTAAGACATCATAAATCAATCTGTTCAACACTTTTCAAGTCATGGACTAACAAACTGCCTGAAAACAGATGTATTCTGATTTAGTTCCTATGATTTACTTCTTTAAGATTATTTTCTAATTTGCTTGGTTTTAGCCATGGTGCTCGATGGTGCCCAACTCCTTAAAAACAACTCCATAACATAATCCCACCCCACCAATGTCTACACTTGGTACAGTGCAGTCAGACAAGTACTGTTCTCCTGGCAACCATAGAATCATGATGGATTTCCAGATTAATAAGCACGATTTGTAACTCCCGACTTTGTGTCTGCAGTGCTCTGAAGTCTAGTGGCAGCATGCTTTACACCACTGCATCTAACGCATTTTATTGCACTTGGTGATGTACAGCTTGGATGCAGCTGCCCAGCCATGCTAATCTGAAGTTTGGAAGTATGTCTTTAATGAATCTGAATGAAGATTGGTGACCTCTCTGCACTATGCGCTCCAGCATTCGCCAACCCCACTCCATCAGTTTGCGTTGGATTATACCTGTATCATGAGACAATGAATTATCTCATGATACAGGTGACAGTTGACAGTGGAATATTTAGGACCAAGAACATTTCCCGACTGGATTTTTTTTTTTGCACATGTGGCATCATTCAAGGCCCTGAAGGGACTGTAACACCTGATTCCAATAATTAAGATGGGTAAGAAAATAAATTTTGCAATACAGTCTATATATTTTGTATATCAGTAGACTAGTAGACTAGCAGTCACACATTGATACACAATCTCTTAGCAAAATCCATCATTTTATATTGCACGGTAGTTGCATAAAAAAGCTCACAAGAGTGAAACAGATTTATTGTTTGTAAAAATATTATCCATCCCTGAAGAATTTCATAATTTTTTCTTACCCTTATTGACTTGTGCAATATATAGTCTTTATAGATCTAGAATGCTAATGTAACAGGTAAGTGCATTTATGTAAAACTCAAATGGATTTAATGGAGGAGATTTGGAGTCACGTGATTTCAAGCTGTTTTCTCATTGGTCACTTAAACATCCTGTTCAGGGTGCAGCTCTCTGCTTTCATGGCCAGTCAATGCTTTTTCTATTTCATCCAGTCAGATTAATTCTTAATTGTTATAGCCAACCCTCCTTTCAGAACCCCCCCCCCAGCCACTGGTGGTTTTAGATGTCCCTCTCTTCTGGTGTCCTCCATGGTGCAGCCGAGGCATAACTATAGTGACCCTGTCCTGATCTAATTATAATGCTGAAACTAAAATTTCCAAGCATGAGTTCAGAGATTAATGGGCCATTCTAGTTGATTTTTGTGTGTAAAAATGTAGAGTTTACTGTTTCTGTTTACAAATATACACACTCTAACTAATTGCATGTTAATATGACAAAGAACCAACTTGTAAAGTAATCATGGTTTGGTGTTTACTCTTCTTAAACTAAATAGACATAACTGGTGTGTTTCTCATATATGAAAAAGGTGCATATTAAGTGACATTTTTTTGTAAAAAAAATAAAAAAAATAAAATATTTTTCTCCTAATTTTTCTCTTTTCTTTTGTCAGTGATCCCATGATGGATGTGGAGAACTTCACAATCTTCATAAAGAACAGCATCCGTTTCCCAACTTTTAACTACACCAAGTAAAATGCACTTCTCATTATTACTCTTCTGACATTAACACACATTGTAGGCAAGCCAACTTTTACTGAATGAAGCTGACTACTGTAGATGTGAAGTCATGTTCATTAGGACCACATCAGCACTGGTGGGCAAAGCTAATCAAAACATTGTCAAGTAGTTCAGACCAGGGGAGGATCTAGGATTCTAGGAGGTCAGGGGCTTAGCCCTGAGGGTGAAGATGAGAGTGCAGACTTTCTGGTAAATCCTGTTCTAATGTAAAATTAGACTAGAAAATATGTATAAGAAATATTTTAGTATACTACATGCTATCACACATAATTTTTTACATAATTTGGAATCAGTTGCTCTTTATTTCCTAAAGATATGGGAGGAGGAGAGGAGAGAATTAATATTTCAGCTGCCTGAAATAATCCGTTTCCCTCCATAACATGGGATTAAATTAATTTACCTGCAAGTCTTTAACTGTGTTTATTCCTCTCTTCATCAGCAACAAACTCTGTGGATTTGGTGACAATTGATCATTTTTTGCCAAACTTATCAGAGGGGAATCAAATATTTTAGACAACTGATATAATCAATTCCCCCCATAACATGGGAAAAAATAAACAAATCCTGTGAATTTTTAAACTGTCATTATATTTCATATATTATGTTTGAAACATTTATTTCATATTTTGAAATCCAAAATAGTGAAAAAAAAAATATGACAGTTGGTTTGATGATCTTTATGAAATGTATTTTAATTCTCAATGTCTGCAGTAGCATTGCTCAGGTTTTTTGAATTGAGAAATCTTTCTGGATGGAAAGTGAATTTTTGTTGGAATATGTGTTAATTGTTAGATAAAAAACATTTAAACAGAAAATATATTTCATAAAGACTAGATTCAGTCATTGCAGTCAGCTAAAATATATTGTTCCCCTCCTTTAATTTTGGTAAATAATGATCAAATGTGATCAAATCCACAGGGTTGATGATGAAGAGAGGAATAAACACAGTTAAATACTTGCAGGTAAATTAATTTAATCCCATGTTAAATTGATCTAATCCCAGCGGAACGGATTATTTCACGCAGATGAAATCTCCATTCTCTCCTCCTCCCATATCTTTCGGAAATAAAGAACAATTGTTTCCAAATTCTTAAAAATTGCTATGTGACAGCATGTAGATTACCAGAAATGTCCTTAATCCAGTAATCTGTCATATTTTGCATTAGAGCTGGATTTAGCAGGAAGTCTTACACACTGTCATCTCTTCAGGAACTCTAAATTTTTGTGTCCTGCTATCAATCAGTTTCCATCTTATATCCCTAATGAAAAATGATAAATACTCACTACGAGTTGGAAAACTGTGTTTGGTGACTGACTTTTATTTCTGTCAGGCTGAAGTGACAGAAGCTGGAAAAAACTTTTGGCGTTTAAAAACAACAACACAAAACAGCTTAAAATGACCTCATCTATTTATTTATCTAACAATTTAGTAAACAACAACTGCTGTTATAACATTGACATGATTATAGGAGTTGTTTTTAGCAAGAAATCATTCAAAAGCGCAGTGAAAATGGTCCCATCCTCCAAATCCGCCTCTCTGGCTTCAATGCGCGCTCCCGACACAAGGGGAACAGAATTTCATACGACACCGGGACAAAGAACGTCTGGAAGTCAGTCAGAGCTTCACATTTCTGGGACATGAGTCTGTTTAGCAACAGCTAGTGGTGACAACTTCTTCTTCTGCGTGGGAATGCTGCAGGCTGCATTCCTGTTCATGCTGCCACCATCTGGTGAAATTCAGTACTGCTCATTTTACTCAGCTCAGCTCAGAAGCGAGATCCGGGGATCTGGGGGAAACATCTGCGTCTGCAGCCCCAGTAGCTGCCCCCTAGATCCCCCACTGCTCCTGCTACTAATATTAGGGTACTCCGGCAAACTCTATTTCTAAGTTAAAGGGGAGCACAGTTTTCTTTAAACATCGGCCCCTTGATTTTACATTATTCCATCATCTTCTACTCACCCATATTATTTTTGTGTCATTTGGCTGTTCTGAAGATATTCCGTTGGGTTATATCCAGTAACGTCTTCCTATGGGCAACGACTTGAAGGCACAAACTAAACTGTTCATAATTTATTCTTTATGGTACGCCAGCATTCATAACATGTAGGCCAATCACTGTCCCCCAGACATCCACGGTTATATTTTTTATATTTATATCTTAAAAACGAAGCGGAGTGTGTATGGTCACTGCTCTGGTTAAAAAAATAAACATTCCAACCCTCCCTGCAAAACTCAATAATTTCTCGACCCGTCTCTTACTGGGTTGCCGTCATTAGTCAGTAGTCTCTGGATCATGGGGAATCTAAATGTAAATACTGTCATGCTCAACAAAGATAACCAAGCTCGCTTTTAATCTTTTTATGGGCATTATGTATCAGGCATAAAATTCACAAATTCACAACAGACTCTTTAAAGGGATAGTTCGGTATTTTTGACATGAATCTGTATGGCATCCCCATCACCAGCGGCATGCAATCACACTGACTTACCCCTGGCAGCGTCCTGTGAGCAGAGTTATCGTCCAGTTTTGGTCAAGCCAAAAGTAGTCCGGCAGGTTTTTAGGAACAGCGAAATAAAACTTTTCTCTTCCCAAAACATTATGTGTTCAAAAGAGTGATATTTTCGCATCCCAAAAACATTGTAGTGGAAAAAGTCACACGTCGTTATCAATTGGTCCTATTTTCTCTCTGTTCGTATCAGTGCGCGCCGTCATTCAGACAGCGAGCCCAACAACAGCCATGTCTCCCTCCGCGGCGGAGGGAGACATGGCTTGACCAAAACTGGACGATAACTCTGCTCACAGGACGCTGCCAGGGGTAAGTCAGTGTGATTGCATGCCGCTGGTGATGGGGATGCCATACAGATTCATGTCAAAAATACCGAACTATCCCTTTAAGGTGTAAATGTACAAATATTGCAGTCAGAGGCGTGCACAGACATTTTGGGGGGCAGGTGCTCAGGAGGTGGGGGAGGGCACTTTTTAGCGCATGTGGAACCCTTAATTATAAAAAAAAAATACACACGCATGTTGAATGAAATTTGACTTTATTTGTAACATTCTCTAAACGTGAGTTTTCAATGGAAAAAAGTCACACCACCAACAGAACAGACTTGTCCATCTTTCTTCTTCTTTCATCTGGCTCATCTCCCTGTTTTCCCTCACCCATCTGTTCTCCCTCATCCTGGTGGTCTCCCTCATCCCGGTCTTTTTCTGTCTTTGTGTTTTCCCTGAACTCTTCCTCATCTCCTGTCCTGGTAGATGTTTATGGTATAGAGCTTCCCTGCTGTGACTGGCTACAATATAATAATAATAACCATCATGACAATAATAATGATGATAATAATAATAATATTAATAATTATAATAATAGCTTTAACAAATATGCCACATTAGTTTAAATAATGGGCTATTAGGGCAACATGACTGGAAGTCTTGTCACGTGGATATGACTTATGGTAGCCTACAAAATAATAGCTATTTTAATACCTGCTGATTTTGTACAAACCACTTAAAAATAAAATGTGAACAGCTTTTAAGATTTTTCAATACGATTAACCCTCCTTTCTTGGCATTGTGCTGCAATTACTAAATCAATATACAATTAAGAGAATAAAGAGACCAAAATGTGTTAATTTCTGTTGCCTAACAAAACCTATACAACAGAAAACGTTTGTCTTAACACATAGATTTGCAATTGCAAACTCTACCGAAATTATTTGTAGCCTATGTGGTCGTCCGTACGTTATCTGTAATTGACTTGGGCTACAGTGTAAAACTTTATCTAGCTTTATCTAGCCGACTAGCGCTATCTAGCCTAACTAGTTTATCAGGTGACCAGTCGGCAAAATGCTTGTTTGGTGCTGCTGAATGAGACATTTTAATGCACAACAAAATTATTTAGCTTGATCTGTATATTACCTGGCTAATCGGGCACGGAAGCAGCCTGTCAGCGACCGTTCCTGTTATCTGAAAACGCTTACTGAACTGTTATGATGCTGCGCATCTGGCATGCCCTGCGGGCGACCGCGCAAGTTTACGTGACAAAGGCTGGTCGGGTGTGCGCAAGGAGGTGGCTCATTTCGGGGCATTGTTTCAGTTGTTTTTAATGGCTCAGGTAAAATCTTAATAATATTAATAATAATAATAAAAAAAAAGAGTTTCAAAAGGGCATTTTCGTTGATAAAGGGCAAACTTCCTAGTGCTTTAGCACCACCTAGTGTCTATGTATGCACGCCCCTGATTGCAGTTATATTTGTAAGTTAAGAATTTTATTTCAATTGCTTTTCTAAAGTTACATGAAACGGTTACCATTTGAAAGAGAGAACCTATTGTTTTATTTTAATATTTATTTTAATACTTACATTAGAACAAAAAAACATGTCACAAAAGTACTTACATCAGGAAGAAACAAGCCTGTGAATGTTGCTGCCAAATGTAATGTTGGATAAATCTAATTTAGAAGCTAGATGGTGAATGTTTCCAAGGTTATCCTAATCCTTATTTTGCTTTTAGCTGTTATTAAATAAATGGAACCATGCCCACTACTACAGATCAGATCAGAAAGTCTGTCTAAGTTAATGTTGTTGATTTTGGCATTGAATCATAAAGAATGTGGATAATATCAGGAAAACCTTTCATCTATGAAGGCAACAATAACATTTCTTCAATTCTGATATGCTGTTGTGTCTTTCTGCAGAGGGAACTTTCTTCCATCAATAACAAAAGAGTACATAAAAAAATGTAACTTCCACAAAGAAACTGACATCAACTGCCCTATCTTCAGAGTTGGAGATATTCTGAAATATGCAGAGCAGAACTTCACTGAGCTGGCAAACAAGGTAAGGCCATGCTTGTTTGTGTGATGAGATATCTAATTAGACCTGTGATTTCTGGTTTGTACAGAAATGTTGTTGAAGGATTTTGAAGATCTGTTCTTTTCCCTTCTATAACTAGATAAGGAGCAGCCACTATATGAAGGACAGTCAGAAATGCAGGCCCACTTTCTGCATCTATATTAAGTACATTTGAAAAACAAGTGCAAACTCTCACATAAAACGTTTGGTGGTCATTGCAGCCACAAAGGAAGCAATGGTAAACTGACAGATGATAAAGAGAGATTCTGATCAGATGCAAGATAATTTAAACTGTCGGAAATGAAAGCAGAATAATATAAGCATGGAACAACCCCTCTGTTAAGGCTGGCTAAAATTATATTCAAATAAAGCAAAAACAAATACATTATGCCTAAAAGTAAATACGGAGTTTTTTGGCTCCTGATCTACTTTCTGTCATGGTTTGGTTGTGGTTTTAAGGACCCAAATGCAGAGGCAGAGAGGCTGGGGAGATTTCTTGCAGTTTAATGATGAAAACAGCAACAAAGGCAGGAATCCAAAAATCCAATGTAAAGCCAAACCATGGAGACATCATGGGAAACTGAACACGAGGAGCCAGGGAGAGACGAGGTAGGAAAACAACAGCATGAGAAGCCAGCAATGACAGACGCAGCAACAACAGAGGAATCAACAAGGACTGACAGCAGAGGGAGAGTATATAAAGCTGACTGAGACAAAGGCAGGGCTAACGAGCAGATAAGGAGCAGGTGTGAGTGGAGCCCCCCACCCCCCCCCCACACACACACAGAGGGCAACAGAGGAAAACAAAGAAAAACCTGAAAACTAAAATATATCCATACAATACAACAAAATAGGAATTAAACAAATAACAGTAGAAAACATGGAGCAAAGTAAAACATAACAGAACCATGACACTTTCTTGCTTCCTCTCCTGAAACACCTTCTGCTCATCGGTCATTCCTGCTTTTCACTCCTAACACTGCCTTTTCCTGTCATTCAGCTCACCCTCCATGACCACAATTGACACTGACCCATTTGACCTTCTTATATCAACCAAAGTTTACTAATTAGGGATATTACCTTTGTTACTGATCAACTACATCTCCCAATGTGCTTAACAAGCTTCCTTTTAACTCAATTTTCCTTTTTCTAGCTTACAAGGACTTGACTGGATAAAGGGAATGTTTCTTAGTTTGCCTCACATCCATTTCTTCTTCATCTAGTTTTTAATTGGTGTGACTAACACAAATGTATTGAATCAAAGTTGATTCTACTGCTTCTGCAGATAAAAGTGAGGGGTCATTTGTGCTGGTCTGACCTGCCAAACTTGAGTAATGGTTTGTAGTAAAGCCTAGTAAAATTGTGCCCTTTTGCAGATTTGAAATTGACTTAACTTTTAAAAATTTAAGTAGATTAAAGGCCTAGTTAAATTGTTCAGTAGCTGAGATCTTTTGAATTGGAGATCACCTACTTTGTAAATATTCTTTTATTGTTGGAGTCGTCATGTGAGTTTTGTCCTCACTGTTTAAAAATACCTGACTTGATATTACTGTTTACTCTTACTCGTCGACTTCTGCTATACCCTGGACTAGGTCTCAGCAGCGACTTCCTGACTTCCCTGTCCCCACACACATCTTTTTCTGCTGTGAGGAGCCCGAGGCACTCCCAGGCCCGACAAGACACACAGTCCCTCCAGTGTGTCCTGGATAATTCCCTAGGCCTCCTCTTGATGGGACGTGTCTGGGACACCTTATCACAGGCATCAAGAAAAGATGAGGTGGCTCCCCTCAAGTGACTTCTTACTATGTGGAGGAGAAGCTTCTCAACTCTGAGCCTGTTTTAAATGGCCAAGCTCCTCACCTTGGCTCCCTTAGAGATATCTAAGGGAGTGCCCAGCCACCTTGAAGATACAAGCACATAATTTTAACCATTGGTAACCAGGATCCCTTTCTTTCAGTCACAATCAAGATTAGAGGACCATAATTGAGGTTGGGGATGTAGACTGACCAGTAAATTGAGAGCTTTGCCTCTTTGCTCAGTTCTCTCTTCACCTCAACAGACCGATGCAGCAGCAGTGTCACCTATCCAACTATCAATCACTCCATTCTCTCACTCATTTAACAGCACCTCAAGCTGTTTCTATCATTCACATGAGGAATAAACTCTCCCCCAACCCGAAGAGGACTAGCTACCTTCTTCTAGTCAATGGCCTTGGAGTTGGTAAAGCTGACTCTCACTCTAGAGGTCTTGTTGGTCCCTATCAGAGTCCACCGTGCACCTGGAAAAGTGTCAACTTGATCTCTTTCAACAAGTCTTATGCTTGAACATGGTGGTGATTATGGACAATGCATGACTTGCACAGATCAAGAAACAGCACTTGGGTTCAGAGCTGGGGGTTTGTTCCTCTTGATCACAGCCCTCCTATCATCATCATTTCCCGAATGGACATTGAAGTCCACCAGCAGAATGATGAAATCCCTGGGAGGAGTGTTTTCAAATACCCCACCAGGGATGCAAAGAAAGCCTGTTACTTTATATCGCCATTCAGCCTATTGGCTAACGCCCCTGTCAAAGGTGAAGGGATGAATGATGATTATGATGATGATGATGAAAAAAATATGGAATCACTCAACTTTTAGGAAAAAACGATGGAATCAGGCCTGCTCGTTAGTCTGGATCTAAAAAGGAGTGATCACACCTTAGAGAGCTGCTGCCCCATGTGAACGGGCAGGAATCATGGCTCCAACAAGAGAGATGTCAATCGAAACAAAAGAGAGGAGTTTCAAACTCTTCAAAGAGGGTAAATCATCCCGCAATAAAACATGTTGGTTATTCACAGTCAGCTGTGTCCAAAATCTGGACAAAAACAAAAGACATGGAAAGGTTGTTAAAGACAAACATACTGGAAGACCAAGGAAGACATCAAAGCGTCAAAGCAAAATGTTTAAAAAGCGAAAATGCACAACAAAACATTGAACGAGAGGAAACTGGAGTCAACGTCTGACCAAACTTTAAGAAACCGCCTAAAGGAAATGGGATTTATATCCAGGATAGCTAAACAAAAGCCATCATTAACACCTAAACAGAAAAAAAACAAGGTTACGATGGGCCGAGGAAAAACAATGATGGACTCCACTGGATGAAAGTCATGATCAGTGATGAATCTCCAGTGATGAACCTGGAACTCTGGTCTGGTGCCATTCCAATGAGACTTCTGAAGATGACTGCCTGAAGAGAAGATGCACATTCCCGCAGGCATTGATGGGGATATGGGGCTACATCAGTCAACATGGTGCCATGGGTCAGGTAAAGGCACTGGGAGATGGCTGTCATTACATCTTCATGGAGTAAATTTCTCCACTGTGAAAATCAGTAAAGAAAATCAATGATCTCATCAACTGAAAGGATGTTTGGTGATGCTGAAACCATTTTCTTTTTTTTTGATAATGCATCATGCCATAGAGCAAAGACTGTGAAAACCTTCCTTGAAAAAAGACAAATAAGTTCAATTTCATGGCCTGGAAATAGTCCAGATCTTAATCCAGTTGAAAAGATTCCTGTTTGTCACTCCGTCCATGACTCAGAGGCTGCAAGCTGTTAGAAAATTCAGAGGTGGTGCAACAAAATACTAGTGAAGTGCTGGAACGTTTTTGTTTTTCTTGATTCCTTAATTCCATCCTCAGAATTGAAGAAATCTGCTTGGTGTAAAAAAGTAACCGTTATCAACTACCACATATTATATTTTTTTATTTCTTTTAGTGTTTCTTAAAGCCAGACAGCTGCCATCTGAAATGTCTTTAGTTTTTTTGCCATGTCTGTGATCTCCTTTTTTCCCCTACAAAACTAAACAACTGAATGACCATTCGGCAATGCCGACGATCATTTTTGCCAGGGGTTGTAGAAGAGAATCCAGCCTCTCTCAAGCAGCTGGGTTCCAGAGACCAGGCTATGTTTGGTAGTGAGCCAGTATTGCTCAAAATTTTGCACAAGATCAGGCTTCTTTCCACCCAGCGAGGTGACCCTTCATGTCCCCATAGCCAGGTGCATTGATCTGAACGTCAAGGCCTTAAAACTGCTCCCCAATCCTTTTTGCATCCGCCCCTTATGGTTCCCTCAGCTGTTGGTGGGCCAACTAGGGGATTGCCTAGCATCACTTGTTCAGGCTGGGCCATGCTGGGTCCCATGAAGAGGAACCCCACCATCAGGTGCTCGCCAACATACCTCCAGGCCAGGCCTGTTTTGTAAAATATTACTGCATTGTGCTGGTGTTTCCCAGGACAGCCCACCTGAAGGTTATTTGGTTAAAATTAAGCTAGGAAATTGTTACCTTACACCTTCTCTATTGCAGAGGTTTTAACAATAAACTGAAAATATTGTACTATAAACCTGTTTAAAAAGAATAAGTTTTTTTTTCATAGCTTATAAAATTCCCCTAATGGCGCTATGGGAAGAAGTTTGGAACAGCTTTTATCATCTTCTACAACCAAACTATTAGATCAAGTTTGTTGTGTTATCAATTTCAGCTCTCAAACCATTATAACTAAAAGTCTTCAAGCAAAATATTTTGATGCAATCATGATACAGTTCATATCGGAAGGGGCTTCCATACATACATTCACTTGCAGATAGATTGATCAGATGCAAAGTTAGAAATTCAATCTTAGAAAAAACCTTCTATAACAGTTTGGCTTAGATAGATTCTAGGAGATATGTTGGATGAATCAAATGTTTTAATCAGTCAGAAAGCTTGTTACCACCTATTGTCTGAACAACAAACTACTATGGTTATTTACAAGATGTCTCACATTTGTTCTATCTTTTGTTGTCCTTTACACAAATATTAATTTGTTTGATCAAATCTGTTAGGGTGGAGTGATCGGAATAATGATCAGCTGGATGTGTGATCTGGACAAGCCAGATGATGAGTGTAAACCATCATATTCATTCACCCGACTCGATGCCATGTCACAGCAGAGCAATGTTTCTCCTGGATACAATTTCAGGTAATTTAGCTTGTTTTCTTTTTTTTTTAGTTAGTCAAGTAACAATCTTATAAGCTGGCCACAGTTGCAGTTTGTGGCGCAGTTTTGTGAGTCTTTTTTCAGTACTTCTGAAAGTCAGTTGCAAACTGACATGCAAATATATCTGCTGTAACGTTTGGCACATGAAGAGATCAGTACTCTCTATGTACTAAGCGTATCAATACATATTTTGACATTCCAATAAAAAAATAGAATAATATTAATAAAGAAAACATCTACACAGATGAGCACAAATGACTGCAGTGTAATGCAGACAATCAGGTTTATATGAGAAACTGAATATCAAAAGAGCCTGCAAAGAGACGCAACAGAGAATGAACAGAGATGTTTCCCCTTGATTTAACAGAAGGTGGTTGTGTGATGGTCTTACTGAGCTCTGTGGGTTCAAAATTGACTTTTTGGGATTTCATTGGGAGCAAACAGAGAAAAAAAATCATCACATAAGCATTTTGTATTAGCAAATTAACTTTTAGAAATTTTTTATCTGATATCTGTGTATAACCCACAAGAAAAATGCTTCCCTTTTTGATAACAGTTGTAGATTCATTTTAAAGACACAAGTTTAAGAAACTTTGCTGTATGTAGAAGGTTGAGAACATATCTTGACATCATATTACTCCCTCAGGTGTTACCATTTAGATGGTCAATCAAAACGTACATCTGAATCACAGCAGAAGCTTGAATGAATGTCTTCACAAAGAGATGATCATATTTAAATATATTTGTATTTATCCGCACAGGTTTGCAAAATTCTATAAGATGGAAAATGGGACAGACTACCGCACTCTGGTCAAAGCCTATGCCATTCGATTTGATGTTATTGTCAATGGAAATGTAAGAATATATATTAATAACTGTCAAAGTTGTGTGGCAAGCTATTTATTCCCAATTAACACAGAAAGCTTTCAATTACATTAGGAGCGGAATGCCTTTTGTTTGTAACCAAGTAAAATTGTTGATGGTGAGAAAATCTCTGTTTTTTTAGGCAGGGAAGTTTAACATGATTCCTACAATCATAAACATGGTGGCAGCGTTCACGTCAGTGGGAGTGGTAAGCTATGTTGAATTATCTAAGAAATTCAATCCATTTGTTCATATATATTATGGCATTTTTCTACTTGTCAGAATAAAACAGAAAAAATGTCTTGTGTTAATTTGTTTTTACTCTTCATACTGTTCTTATTGTTGTTCACAATACTGTTGTTTTTAGGGCACAGTGTTGTGTGATATAATACTGCTGAACTTCCTGAAGGGCGCAGAGCAGTACAAGGCTAAGAAGTTTGAAGAGGTAAACATTTGGATGGATGGATGGATGGATTGATGGATGGATGGATGGATGGATGGATGGATGGATGGATGGATGGATGGATGATGGATGGATGATTGATGGATGGATGGATAATGGATGGATGGATAGACAGATTAATGATGGATGGATGGATTTATGGATGGATGGATGATAGATGGATGGATGATGGATGGATGGATGGATGATGGATGGACGGATCGATGGATGGATGGACGATGGATGGATGGATAGAAGGATTGATGATGGATGGATGGATAGACGGATTGATGATGGACAGATGGATGGTTGATGAATGGATGGGTAGATGGATGGACAGGTGAATGGATGATGGATGAAGGGTGGATGGATGGATTAATGGACAGATAGATGGATGGATTTATGGATGGATGGATGGATGGATGGATAGACGGATTGATGATGGATGGATGGATGATGGAAGGATGGAGGGATGGATGGATAGATGGATGGATGGATGGATGGATATACGGATGGATGATGGATGAATGGATGGATAGACAGATGGATGGATGGGTAGATGGAAGGACAGGGAAATGGATGGATGGATTTATGGATGGATGGATGGATGGATGGATGGATGGATGGATGGGTAGACTGATTGATGATGGATGGATGATGGATGGATGGATTATGGATGGATGGATGGATGGATGGATAGACCGATTGAGAATGGATGGATAGATGGATGGATGATGAATGGATGGACGATGGATGGATGGATGGATATACGGATTGATGATGGATGGATGGATGATGGATGGATGGATGATTGAAAAGCAGATGGATGATGGGTGGATGGATGGATAGATTGATGGATGGATGGATGATGGATGGATGGATGATGGATGGATGGGTAGATGGATGGACAGGTGAATGGATGAAGGATGGATGGAGGGATTAAAGGACATATGGATGGATGGACTTATGAAAGTGAAAAAAAGCCCTTTGGGAAACTCCAACTCCCATTGTCATTGTGACACAGCACACACAAGTGAACACTGCACACCATGAAATTGCATTTATGCCTCACCCGTGCAAGGGGGCAGCCCTCAATGGCGCCCCAAGGGAGCAGTGTGGCGGGACGGTACCATGCTCAGGGTACCTCAGACATGGAGGAGGATGGGGGAGAGCGCTGGTTAATTATTAGACTTATGGATGGATGGATGGATGGATGGATGATGGATGGATGGATCGATGGATGGATCGATGGATGGATGCATGATGGATGGATGGATGTACGATGTATGGATGGATAGACAGATTGATGATGGATGGATGGAAAGACGGATTGATGATGGATGGATGGATGGATGGAGGGATTTATGATGGAAGGATGGATGGATGGATGGATGATGGATGGATGGATGGATGATGAATGGATGGACAATGGATGGATGGATATACAGATTGATGATGGGTGGATGGATGGATGATGGATGGATGGATGGATTGGTGGACAGATGGATGGATGGTTGGGTGGACGGATGGATTGATGAATGGATGGATGAATGGACAGATGGATGGATGGGAGGACGGATGGATTGATGGATGGACTGGTGTATGGATGATGGATGAAGGATGGATGGTTGGATTAATAGACAGATGGATGGATGGATTTATGGATGGATGGATGGATAGACAGATTGATGATGGATGGATGGATTATGGATGGATGGATGGATAGTGTTTGATGATGGATGGATGGATGATGGATGGATGGATGGATGATGAATGGATGGACGATGGATGGATGGATGGATTATGGACGGATGGATGGATGGATGGATAGATGGATTGATGATGGATGACGGATGGATAGATGGATTATGAATGGATGGACGATGGATGGATGGATATACGGATTGATGATTGATGGATGGAGGGATGGATGGATGATGGATGCATGGATGGATGGATGTATGGATGGATAGACAGATCGATGATGAATGGATGGATAGATTGATGGATGGATGGATGGATGAATAGATGGATGGATGGATGATAGATGGGTGGATGGATGGATGGATGATGGATGGATGGGTAGATGGATGGACAGGTGAATGGATGATGGATGAAGGATGGATGGATGGATTAATGGACAGATGATGGATAGATTTATGGATGGATGATAGATGGAGGGATGATGGAGGGATGGATGATGGATGGATGGATGGATGGATGGATGATGGATGGATGGATGATGGATGGGTAGATGGATGGACAGATAAATGGATGATGGATGGATGGATGGATGGATGGATAATGGATGGATGATGGGTGGATGGATAGAAGGATTGATGATGGATGGATGGATGGATGGACGATGGATGGATGGGTGGATGATGGATGGATAGATGGATGGATGGATATACGGATTGATGATGGATGGATGATGGATGGATAGATGATGGATGGATTGATGGATGGGTTGATGGATGGATTGATGGATGGACAGGTGTATGGATGGATGGATGGATGGACGGATGGTTTGATGGATGGATGGATGAATGGACAGATGGATGGATGGATGGGTGGATAGACGGATTGATGATGGACAGATGGATGGATGATGGATGGATGGGTAGATGGATGGACAGGTGTATGGATGATGGATGAAGGATGAATGGATGGATTAATGGACAGATGGATGGATGGATTTATGGATGGATGGATGATGGATTGATGGACGATGGATGGATGGACGGATGGATAGACAGATTAATGATGGATGGATGGATTATGGATGGATGGATGGATAGTGTTTGATGATGGATGGATGGATGATGGACGGATGGATGATGAATGGATGGACGATGGATGGATGGATGGATTATGGACGGATGGATGGATGGATGGATAGATGGATTGATGATGGATGACGGATGGATGGATGGATGATGGATGGATGGATATACGGATTGATGATGGATGGATGGAGGGATGGATGGATGATGGATGCATGGATGGATGGAGAGATAGACAGATGGATGATGAATGGATGGATAGATTGATGGATGGATGGATGAATAGATGGAAGGATGGATGGATGGATGATAGATGGATGGATGGATGGATGGATGTATGGATGGATGATGGATGGATGGGTAGATGGATGGACAGGTGAATGGATGAAGGATGGATGGATGGATTAATGGACAGATGATGGATGGATTTATGGATGGATGGATGATAGATGGATGGATGGATGATGGATGGATGATAGATGGAAGGATGATGGGTGGATGGATGGATGGCTGATGGATGGATGGACGATGGATAGATGGATGGATAGACAGATTGATGATGGATGGATGGATTATGGATGGATGGATGGATAGTGTTTGATGATGGATGGATGGATGGATGGATGATGGATGGATGGATGATGAATGGATGGACGATGGATGGATGGATGGATAATGGACGGATGGATGGATGGATAGATGGATTGATGATGGATGACGGATGGATGGATGGATTATGAATGGATGGACGATGGATGGATGGATATACGGATTGATGATGGATGGATGGAGGGATGGATGGATGATGGATGCATGGATGGATGGATGGATGGATGGATAGACAGATGGATGATGAATGGATGGATAGATTGATGGATAGATGGATGGATGGATGGATGGATGGATGGATGGATGATGGATGGATGAATAGATGGAAGGATTGATGGTTGAATGAACAGATGGATGGGTGGATGGATGGATTGATGGATGATGGATGGATGAATAGATGGAAGGATTGATGGTTGAATGAACAGATGGATGGGTGGATGGATGGATTGATGGATGGATGGATGGACGGATGGTTTGATGGATGGATGGATGAATGGACAGATGGATGGATGGATGGGTGGATAGACGGATTGATGATGGACAGATTGATGGATGGATGGGTAGATGGATGGACAGGTGTATGGATGATGGATGAAGGATGAATGGATGGATTAATGGACAGATGGATGGATGGATTTATGGATGGATGGATGATGGATGGATATATGATGGATAGACAGTTTGATGATGGATGGATGGATAGACAGTGGATGATGGATGGAGGGATGGATGGACGATGGATGGATGGATAGACGGATTGATGATGGATGGATGGATGGATGGGTGGATGGATGACGGATGGATGGATGATGAATGGATGGACGATGGATGAATGGATATATGGATTGATGATGGATGGATGGATGGATGGATGGATAGAGAGATGGATGATAGATGGATGGGTAGATTGATGGATGGATGAATAGATGGAAGGATGGATGGATGGATGATAGATGGGTGGATGGATGATGGATGACAGATGGATGGATTAATGGGCAGATGGATGGATTTATGGATTGATGGATGATAGATGGATGGATGATGGATGGATGGATGGATGATGATGGATGGGTAGATGGATGGATGGATTAATGGACAGAAGGATGGATGGATTTATGGATGATAGATGGATGGATGATGGATGGATGAATGGATTGATGGATAAATGGATGATGGATGGATGGATGATAGATGGATGGATAGACGAATTGATGATGGATGGATGGATAGACGGATTGATGATGGATGGATGGATGGATGGATCGATGGATGGATGGACGATGGATGGATGGATGGATAGACGGGTTGATGATGGATGGATGGATGGATGATGGATGGATGGATATACGGATTGATGATGGATGGATAGATGATGGATGGATTGATGGATGGATGGATGAATGGACAGATGGATGGATGGATGGATGGATGGATTCATGGATGTACAGGTGTATGGATGATGGATGAAGGATGGATGGATGGATGAATTCATGGATGTACAGGTGTATGGATGATGGATGAAGGATGGATGGATGGATTAATGGACAGATGGATGGATCGTTGGATGGACGGATGGATTGATGAATGGTTGGATGAATGGACAGATGG